CTATGTTGGGTGTTAATGGTTTCCATTCTTTTCTTAAGCTCCTCTATTTTTTTAATCTGTATCTGCTCCAAAGTCACTAATCACGTCTTACAGTATGCTCATCATCTCTGTAGTTATCTGAGAAACTATCTCTGATTTTATTTTTTTCTACAGCCTCATTCATCTGCTTTGTTACTTGTGATATTACTACTTCAGAGAGTCCCTGTGGGTGGATTTCAAATTTTTCCACCTCATTGCTCCCTGGGTTTGCCTTTGGAAGTTTGGAGTTGCATCTTACTTAAGTGTCTTCGGATTTTCTTTCTTTCTTTCTTTCTTCCTTTCTTTCTTTTGTTCATTCTTTCTTTCAAGTTACTGATGGGTTGATGCTTTTAAATTACATATGGTAAGTAGCTTTATTGCCAGTATTTAGAACACTTAGGAAATGACAACTTCCCAGAGATGTCTTCTAGGTGTGGCTGGCTTTTGAGTTTTGAGTCTGTTGCAAGATCCTACCTCTTCAAATTATTGCAGATAAGAAGTTGCTGCCAATTTGGCCTAGCCCCTAGTTCTTTGGCATTGGCCTATGGTATTGTTTATGAGTCTAGGCAATTGCAGTCTTGGTGAACCAGAAAGAACAACTGAGTAGGACAATTATGTCTCCCTGGTTAAAGTAGTACAATCAGCAATAACAATAGTATCAAACACAGCATAGAATATGACAAACTGTGGTAACTATTGATTTGTCACCTTTAATTGTATGAACTAGATTTATGGTTATACAACAAAGTCTAAAACAACCCAGAAAATTGTATACAGTAAGTACGCTATCAGTATGGTGATTTTTACCCTCAGGGGAGAAAATTTAAAAGGGTTTAAGGGAAAACAATGGAGAAATAAAAGAGGAGGAAGAGATTAGAAGAAAAGCTGGTGGACAAAGGAAGATTACACAAACTTTGTGGACCTTGTAAATAAGACAAGAGGGAAAGAGAGAAGGAAGAAATAAAAATAAATAGGAACAGAACAATAAGAACAACTACAAAAAACTAGAAACATTGGTTTTGCCACCTGTTGCACAAGCGCAAGGACCCGAGTTCGATCCCCGGTACCAAAAAAAAAAACCAACTAGAAACAATCTTCATGGTTATATAAAAGCAAGAACAAACAATGAAAAACAAAACAAAACAAAAGAAGGAAAAAAATAAGGAAAAAATGTCCACTTCAAAGCATATCTCTGCTATCACTGTAGACAAATTGGGCACAAAGAGCCCAGATCTATGTTGATTAATCCCAACAAGCCATCTGTAGATTTCCTTCGGGATAGTGGATAATCCCAGTAAACCTGCACCTTCAGTTTTGAAGCTCAGGCTGTGAGGCTAGAACCCAATTTGTTCAGCCTGCAACACTGCGCCTCCTGCTGGCTTGAACTTCATTCCTTAGCCTCTTGCACTTCCACTTTAAACCTGATGGAGCCCACCTACAGCTGCTCTGATTTCTGAGCTCAACTGGCCCTTCTCTACAATGGCTACTGGCCTATCACCCTCTACTGGGGGACGTCTGAACCCAAATAACTCACCAGCCACTGCAGTCTGCTGCATCCACTGCTCCATTCCACTGGTGCTTCTCTCCGTGGAGGCCTCTGGAGTCACCAGTCATCACCATGCATCTGTAGGTTTGAGCAGCCCTTCCTACACAGTGAATCAGGACTGAGGGAGAAAGCACCTCTTTCCACTTCCTTCTTCTTCATTGATATCTTTCTCCTTGCTCTATCCATGGGCTTCAATTCTTGCTTCAGATCCTTGTTAGGTCCAGGGACCCACTTTCCTCCTTCCTGTCTTCCTCACATTGCTATATTCCAGTGTCTGGACACCAAATTTTTGAGTGGCTGTTTCTCTGCTATTCACTACTCTACCACCTCCTCAGACGTCTCTATAGCATCTTTGTTTTGTTTTGTTTTGTTTTGAGACAGAGTCTCACTGTGTAGTCCAGGCAGGCCTTGAACTCATGATGATCCTTCTGCCTTAGCCTCCCAAGTGCTGGGATTACAGGCGTGTGCCACCATGCCTGGCTATAGCATCATTTTTAATACTCTTGAAAAAAAATCCTTCCTTCTTTGAGATATAGGCTACCTAATATCCTTTCTTGTCATTGAAACCACATATTTCTGATCATTTGTTAATGTTGAGATGCTTCAAAAGTCTAAGCCCTCTGTCCCTCCACTAACACCATGCTTAGAAGCCTAAACATGAATCAAACCTTCCACCTCTACTCCTATACCAACATTGCTAGGCTTTGGAGAAAATCACACAAATGCAGAGATTATTTCTACCAGGCACCTATGATCTCCACTTACTTTAAGCTTTCAATACTATTTGCCAATCCCTCATATGTCCCTGGTGAATATTCTTTCCCGCTCATCACACAATCTACTGACAGCCTCCTTTAATTTCCTTGTGTCATGCTGCTGACTTCTTATCTCTTAGTAATAACCTTTCTTCCTTCATAGGAAAAAATATATTGCTTTGGGTGTGGGATTTCTTCCATTTTCTGCCCTTATATTTACAATAAACTTATGTACACATGTACCTCTGGTAATCCACATTAATGGCCTCCATTTCCCACATCCTATGCCCTAAAGTTTTGTAGTCTCTTCCTATTTTGATACTGAGTATAGCCATGTAACTTCTTTCTGTGAAGTACAAGTACATGCATTCTGTATGGAACCCCTCTGGCACCTTAAAAGAAGCCTGAGCTAGACTGCTGGAGTGTGAGAACACATGGAAGGGAGCTAAGCTGGCTGAGTCAATGTCACCCTAGTTCATCTAGCTGACCACAGTGCATGAAGAAGCCTGAAAAAAAATATTTGGCAAATATGGTATGGTAGAACTGTCTAGCTAACTGAAAATTCATGAGAAATAATAAATTATAGTTGTTTTCAATTACTAAGTTTTCAAATAGTTTGTTAAGTTTTTGGGGACAGTTTGATATGTAATAATAGCTGACATACAAACTCTCATTTTCTTTTTGTCACTCTCAGAGGAGGCACCCTTTTTCTACCTGAACACATATTCCTCCACTTGCTCTTTATCCCATTACTGCATTTCAGATCTCATCCCTGTGTGTTATATCCCTATATGGTATTTTCTCTTTTTTTTGAGATAGGGTCTTGCTATGTAGCCCAGATGGTTCTCGAACTCATGACATCCTCCTGCCTGAGTCTCCTGAGTGCTGGCATTACAGGTGTGTGCCACTACACCTGGCTCTATATGGTGTTTTGCTCTCTTTAGACATTTTTTCCTTTATTATATAAAATTCTCAGCTGGGTATAGTGGCATACACCTATAATCTCAGCACTCAGGAGACTGAGGCAGCAAGAACACAAGTTTGGGGTTAGCCTGGGCTACATAGCAAGTTCAAGGCCAGCCTGGACTATAGAAACCCTATCTCAAGAAAAAAGAAAAAACTTCCAGTCTCTTCACACACACATGAGCCTGTATTTTCAGCAAGGTATTGCCCAGGGTCTGTGCCTGTTATGTGTGTGGGGGAGAGAGGAAGAGGAGAGAGAAAGAAAGAGAAATTATTTTACCCAATTGTGTAGGCATTGCAAGCCCCAAATCTGATTGGGGATAGAGACTGAGAGGATAAAGTTAGAGTCCACAGTCAGTCAGCCTTCTTGCATAGGTGAGGTTAGACTTTGTTTCCTATGGTATTCCCACATTGTGGAGGATAATCTGCTTTACTCAAAGTTGGCAGATTTAAATACTTTTTTGTGTTTGTTTTTTGGGTTTTTTTGAGAGTCTTGCTATGTAGTTTATGGCCTCGAACTTGTGGCTATCTTCCTGCTTCAGCCTCCTTAGTGCTAGGATTAAGGGCCTGCACAACCACTAATTTAAATGCTAATCTCATGCCAGAAAATCTTCACAAAAACATCTAGAATAACATTTGACCAAATATCTGGGAATCATGGCTCAGGCAAATCACCACATAAAATTACCATCACAGCTTGCTACATTCAGTTTTTTGGGATTCACCTTTTTTTGTCTCCCAGTTTTGGGTATTAAATCTAATGCCTTTGTATTGAATTACAACCTCTCCCCTTTTAAAATTTTTATTCTGAGACAAAAAATTGCTAAATTGCCCAGGCTGGGCTAGAACTTGTAATCCTCTTGCCTCAGCCTCCCAAGGGTGGAGGATAGATGGAGCCACTAAGCCCAGCCCAGTCTCCCTTTTATTTATTATCCTACTTCTCTACCTAAGGCAAGTGATTCTACAAACACTCTTATGCTTTGTTCTTTAATTTCAAAACTGTTTCCTATTTGTCTGCTATTTTTCAGTTTTCTTTATGGCAAGTATTTCTATTCCTGATTCCTTTTTCTGTTTTTGTTTGTTCCTTCGTTTGTTTGAGACAGGCTCTTCCAAAGTAGGTCAGGCAGGGCTCAGACTTGAGATTCCCCCTGCCTCACCCTCCACAGTGCTGGGATTACAGGTATGTGCCACTATAGGCAGATCTTTGCCTGCTTCTTAAAAACTCTTTAGGTTTGTGCCACACTGACTACTTTAGTCTTTCCCATGCACCAATAGCTTCTACCACTAAATCTATGCCTTCCTCATAGTCATCTAATAAATGAGCATCATTCATTCATTCATTGATGTATTAATAGTGTTTATAAGCGCCGAACCCTATGGAGCCTTGTGGTGACATGTAAAATGGCCCCCAATATCTCCATTTTTTATCATTCATGAGCTTGTTTTACTTGTCCCTCTCAGTGTGGACTTCTAATAAACAAAATACAAAAAAAAAGGTATGCTTCTAAGATTAGGTTACAAAGGACTTTGGCTTTTGTCTTGCTCATTCTCTCATTTTCTCTTAAGTCTCTATTTTCCTTTTTCTTCCAATAAGTACACGTGTGTGTCTGTCTGTGTGTGTGTGTGTGTGTGTGTGTGTGTGTGTGTGTGCGCGTGGTACTGGCCTTGTACATTCTAAGCAGACACTCTACAACTGAGCCACATCCCCACTTCTAGTGTTCTGTCTTTCTTAGAGTTTTCATTTTGTCTTTCTCATAGTCTTTTTTCTGAGGTAAGCAAGATGAAAGGTGACTTGCTGTATGAGAGAGGAAGTCAGGTCTTCGGTCCACAGCCAGCATGCTTGAGGCCTGTTGCCATCCACAGGTGAGCTAGGAAGCAGGGTCTCTCCCCGATGAGGCCTGAGATGACTGCAGTACTGGTGGTTATCCTGATTGTAGCCAAGTGAAGAATCTTGAGTCAGAGGCACCTGGCCAAGTTGCAAGTGGATTCCTGATGCATAGAAATCAAGAGAGAATAAATATTTATGGTTTTACACTGCTAAATTTTGTATAATTTGTTTTATAGCAATAGATAACTAATAGCTACTCAGGATCCAAAGTCAAAGAAGAAATTGTCCCTGAGATTAAGGGTCCTCAAATTCTCTTTAGGGGTGATGGGAAAGCCTCTGTGAGCACAAAACGATGTGATAGGTATAGGAAAACACACAGGGACTAATGGGTGCCCAGGGAGAAATTTCAATTCTACTTAAAGGTTGAAGGACTTTTTTTGCCTCTGGGGATCCAATTTGGGACCTTGCGCTTTCGAGGCAGGCGGCATCACCACTGAGCTAAATCCCTGGCCTGAAGGGATTCAATATAATTAGAAACATACAGGTTGAGGGAGCCACTCCTTTTCCTTATTCAACTATAAACAACACCACATAATGTTTATCCATGTTTAAACCTGGGAGGTTGAGATGCCCTTGGCGGCAGAGCATGGATACGAGGGAGAGACAGAATGGGAGGGATCTGGAGTCAGACATGTCTGACCCATTAAATACCAGAAGCCTGAGTTACCAAGGGCTCCTCTTCTTCTTCCTTTTTCCATTTGTCTTTTTGCCTGTTCCTGCTGCTACCGTCCCCTGATCTTTATTTATTTATTTTTTTGGTATCAGGGATTGAACTCAGGTCCTTGCGCTCTCAGAGCAGGCAGCGAAACCACTGAGCTAAATCTCCCGCCCTCCCCTGATCTTTTAATAAACATAGCTACTTAATGAGGTGTACCCTTGGCAATTCTTTTCCTTGTTGTGCACAAGAACATGGACTATTTTTGGCCCATCTAACAGACTCATTCAGCAGACTTTATTTTATTATTAAATGAAGAGGCTAAGACATTTGATGAAAATAAGGAGAAAATGAAATTTTAGAATCTCCGCTGGGAAGAATAGTCAAAAGAATCATAAAGGAAGCAAATAATGGTATCTAGGCAGTGTGGAGTTGTGGAGAACGTGGGTTTGTAAAATTTTTAATCTGAGTTTGGATTTACGTTCCTTTTATTTTTATTGATTTATTTTTTCTTTTGTACTGGGGATTGAAGCAACAGCCTTCTCACTGAGCTATATCCCTAGACCATTATTAACATTTTTTTCCTTTGAGACAGGGTCTCACTATGCAGTTCAGGCTGGCCTTGAACTTGCCATGATCCTTCTGCCTCTGCCTCCCAAGTGTTGGGATTACAGGTGAGTGCCACCACATTCAGCTTTTTGTTGTTGCTTTTTGAGACAGGATCTCACTATGTAGTACAGGCTGGCCTCACAACTACAGTGACCCTCCTACCTCAGCCTCCCTAACGCTGGGATTACAAGTGTATGCCACCCTGAATGATTTAAATTAGTTTTTTTTTAGAACAGGCTCACATGAGATAAACTGCCCTGATTGGGTTTGAATTTGCTAATCCTCCTAGCTCAGCCTCCCAGAGTGCTAGAATCACAGATGGGGTTTATTTCTCAAATGCTTTAAAAAGCTAGACGTGGTGGCACACATCTCTAATCCCTGTACTTAGAGGCTGAAGCAGGAAGATCACTGAGGCAGCCAAATTCGAGGCTAGCCTGGGCTACACAGTAAATTCAAGGCCAGCCTGGAATACCTAATGAGACCTTGTCTCAAACAAACAACAACAAAAACAAAGAAGTTAAAAATGGGTGTGAAGGCACCACCGGTAATCCCAACACTCTGGAAAACTGAGGCTGGAAGACCCTGTCTCAAAATAAATAATATAATGGGCTGGGATGTGGTTCAGTGCTAAAGCCTTAGATTAAAAAAAAAAAAGTTTCCGAGCTATGACAGGTTCCAGGCCATCCATAAGCAACGGATCTGGAAACCAAGGGATGCACTGTGATCCTAAGAGATCAGGCGCTGGGTTTTGGCCTTTCCCAGATCTTCCTTCTCTGCAGTGCTGGGACAAACTCAGGGCCCTGAGCTACGGAAGCGCTGACATCTAACTACACCCCAGCTCTCTGGCTTTTCTGGCTACTGAGGAAAAACCTATGGCTCAGGATGAAACCCGAATGAACTACAAACAAATTGTTCGGGGGACTTTTTAAAAATCTAGAGCTGTACTACTAGGTAGTCACTGGCCACCTGAGGTTACTCAATTAAAGTGAAGTAAAATTAAAGGCTCAGTTGCTCACAAGGGCTGTGCTGGACCGACAACACCCTGGCGTTCAAGAGGGCCTCGGCCACTGCGGAGGGGATCCTGCTCAGAACTCTGGCTCGGCCGAGACGGGCCGAGGACTTCACCTCCTAAAGGAAGCAACAGAGAGCGCTCGACCTCGCCCTCTCTAGGAAGCTGCTGCGCGGATAGAGCCTAAGGCTCGCCCCTCCCGCGGGTCAGCAAGTACCCAGCGGAAGTGAGGCCCAGACAGGAGCGCGAGGCCGGGGGCGGGCCGCCGGGGCGGGGCGGGGCGGGGCGGGGCGGGGCGGAACGACCGGGGGCCGAGCCGCAGCCCGGAGGGCGGAACGACCGGGGGCGGGCTAGGCAGCCTTGCGTGCTCACGTGACGGGTCCGCGAGGACCCTCGCTCAGTCGTCCTGGCGAGCGAAGATGGCGGCCGAGAGGGAGCCTCCTCCGCTGGGCGACGGGAAGCCTACCGACTTTGAGGAGCTGGAGGACGGGGAGGACCTGTTCACCAGCACAGTCTCCACGCTGGAGGTGAGGCCGCGTCCCGCGCCGCGCCGCCCGTCTCACCTTGATGCCTTCCCTGCCCCGACTTCTCCCCGCCCCCCGACTCGCCCGACCCGGTAGGGGTGACACCTGTGACGCGAGTCCCCTCTGGTCCCTGGCAGCGGGCTGGGGTTGCCTGGGCGGCGCGGCCTCTGCGCGAAGCAGCCTGTTGCCCGGGGGAACCTTCCGAATTCTCGGAGGGACCGGGCCCGGCAGGACCGCTCAGCCGGCCTTCCGCGGGCCGCCCGCTGAGGTCTCGTCCCAGCCCCGCAGCGGCTGCCGAGAGGTGCGGCCTGGGCTTCTCTCCCCGCGGAAGGGTGTGCCTAGAGAGGGAGCTCGCGGCGTGGCGAGGGTACGGGCGGGCCGAGTACCACGGCCTTCTTGGACTGCTGGTCCCCTGAGGTATCTGCTTGAGTTAGTGCTGACAGTGTAGGTAAATGCATTTGCCCATTTTGATTCATCCCTAGTTCCTAGACTTCTTAGGGACCGTAGTGTTTGGAAAATATAAAATCTAAGGGAGGAAGTATTCCAGGAAACTGCTTTTTAAAAAAACTAAGGTACCAGGGGAAATAGAACCATCTCCACTCCTTTCCTCTTTTCTCGCATGATCAGCAATCTCTGAAACCGAGTGTTCCTATTTTTGTCAAAGGAAATACCCTCAGAACCTAACTGTATTGGGCCCGCCTATGTCTACTTAAAGTTTCAGTTGCTTTGCATTTAATGAGAACACACGTACTTTAAATTCCAATTTTAAAATGTGTGTATGTATAAACATGTAAGCAGAGTTCTCAGAAGATATGTTTACCTTGGGATGTACTTAAAAGTGCTTTCTTACATGCTTTCTTGGCCTGTTCGATTCTTCTGCACTAAATCAGTTGGAGATTACTGTAAAATATCCACTATCTGAATTTTACTTGCCTGAAACGGGAACTTCTGAGAACTGTTCTTTACTGACCACATTCTGCTAATTGTACTGTGAGTGTCCCACCCAAACCCTACCTCCCCTCAGATCATAGTTTCCCTAGAGCTAGGAATAGTGGTTTGTTCTTGCTCACAAAATCTTGAACATTTGCAGTTAGTAAATTTTATTGGATTGTCAAAACCAGCATCTCCTAAGAATTAGTAAAAAGTATTTTGCAGAATGGTTGATATCTTTTCAATCTTTCACACATATACAATTACTTTAACATGTTTCAAAAATTAGTTTCTGCAAGATCCTATGATATTAGGCCATCTAGGGAATATAAAGATTTTTCAGCAAGAATTAGCACAAACTTGATTGATCTAGTGAACATTCTATTTAACTCAGGTTGTTTAGAGTTCAATAACTATAAGTCTGTATTTCTCATGTTGTAGAACTTTTGTTTTTGTTTTTTGAGACAGAGTCTCACTATGTATGTAGAGGCTGGCCTTGAACTCTTGATAGGACTTGTAAAAAATGTTGGACCAGGCCCAGGATTTAGCTCAGTGGCTTCGTGCCTGCCTCACAAGCACAAGGTCCTGAGTTCAATCTCTGGTAGCAAAAAAAAAAAAAGTTTGAACATTTTTCAGTGAAAGTTTGCAAACTTTATGAATACCTTAAATTTATCTTGGTTAATCCTCTATGAAAGTTGTGCATAAAGTGGTTATTGATGGTTCATCTAAACCCCTTAATTCATGGACTCATTCAACTCATTTTAAGAAAGTTATGCTGGGGGTGGTGGCCTATGCCTGTAATCCCAGCACTTGGGAGGCTGAGGAGGGAGTATCGGCATGAGTTTGAGGCCAGCCTGAACTACATAGCAAGACCCTGTCTGAAAAAAACCAAGAAAGTCATATGGCTGTGAGATGTGTAAATTTAAATTTTTTCCCCCTTCAAAAATGGGAAAATATATATAGCAGTTACTAAATTAACCATCTCTAAATGAATGCTCTTTCAGTTCTTCACTACAGTGCTTTTAAACTTGTGTATGGACTCCATTGTTCACTTTTAAAATGTAGATGCCTTTATCTCACTGGAATCTACATGTTTAACGTGTTGTAGATCAGTCCTTTTCAAAGTTTATACATAAAATACCTAGGGATTTTGTTCATGTGCAAACTATGATTCTCTAGGACTGAATTAGGTCCCAATGTTCTACATTTTTAGCAAGTTCTATATTCTGTAGTGCTACTGGCCCACAGAGAACACTGAATTCTTGCAGCTTCAAGGTCCTAAGTGATTCTGATGCAGATCATCTTCCTTGAATACTTATGACCTAAGAATATATGAAACCTAAGCTGTAAATGTAAAGTAAGATGCATAAATGAATGTATTATAATTAAAAAAGAAAATAAGTCACAGGTTTTTAAATTATTCATATAGAACTTTCATTTAAGGGCATTTAATTTGGGGGGAGGGAAAATCAATTGAAATCCTTTCTCATAGCTTCCATGTGCCTAAATGTTCATCTTGTAGTACCTGTGAATTAGCTTATCTGTATTCCTGTGATTTGTTTGTTTGTTTTAAACAAGGTCTCACTCTGTAGTTCAGGCTGGCCTTGAACTCACCTGCAATCCTGCCTCAGCCTTCCAAGTGCTGAGATTAAAGGCATGCACCACCACACCCAGCTCTGCCTATGTATTTTTTCTTTATTTATTTTTGGTACTGGGGGTTGAATTTGGGACTTTAGCTTGCAAGGCAGGGGCCAGCCACACCACTGAGCTAAATCCCCAGCCCTGTGTATTTTTTTAAATACAATATTAAATTGAATTTTTTAAGAATTAAAGATGGACACGTAAACTTAAGTGAAAGATGATCTAAGCCTATACTGTATGTATCCATTGTGACTGTAAGACAAAAAAGTGGTGGAAGCTAGGATAGGGATAGAAAAGGGAATGAGAAGGAAAGAATTTGGCAGAGCATTATTCTTTTTTGTTCCTGAGAGGTAAGGCTTTAAAATTGCTTGTGAATGTTGCTTTTTCTATAAGCAATACAACCTTAAGCTTAAGGATTTTAAACTTTAAGCACTTTTTGACATGGAGAAGTAAATATCACTTTTTTTAAAGTCAAAAGCTGGGCACGGTACACCCCTGTAATTCCAGCAATTACTCAGGAGGATGAGGCAGTAAGATAACAGATTACAGGCAATTTGGGAGACCCTGTTTCAAGATAGAATTAGAAAGGGCTGTAGATTTAGTTCCGTGCTCAAGTGCTTGCCTGAAAGCCCTAGGTTCTACAGTGCCTCGCAAAAAAATTTGTTAAAGGTAGGAATGTATATTATGTACCTGTTTTTTTTTAAGAGCTTTATTGAGATAAATTCTCATATACAGTTTACCCTTTTAATGTGTACAGTTTAATGGTTTTTAGTATGTTCACTGACTGGTACAACATCACCACAGTCATTTTGGAAGATTTGCATTCAGAACATTTAGAGACCTTGCGTGCTGTAGATGTCACTGTTCTCTGTTTCCCCAGGCCTTCTGTTCTCAGCCCTAACAGCCACTGTATGAATGGAATTACATAATATATGGTCCTTTGTAACTGGCTTTTTTTTCACTCAGCTTGACTGAATGCATGACTGTAGCATATGTCAGTGCTTTTATTCCATTTTCGAGTTAAGGGGTCTTGCTGTGTTGCTTGGACTGGTCTCCAAAACCTGGGTTTAAGTGATCCTCTTTTTTCTTTGGTACCAGGGAACAAACTCAGTACCTTGGGCTTGCAAGGCAAGGCAGGCGCAGTGCCACTGAGCTAAATCCCCGGCCCTAGGTGATTCTCTTGCTTTAGCCTTTTGAGTGCTTGGACTGTAGAACACACAACCTGGCTCTATTTATGGTCTTAATAAGGTCTTTTGAAATACAAATTTTTTGTTTTGTTTTGATGTACAAAATTTTTGTTTACAGTACTGGCCACTAGACCCAGGGGCATTCTACCCACTGAGATACATCCCCAGACCATTCATTCATTCATATTTATTTATTTATTTGACAAGCTGGCCTTGAACTCACTCTGTAGCCCAGGCTGGCCTCAAATTTGTGTCGATTCTCCTGCCTTAGTTTCCCCAGGCACCATGCCCAGGTTTTTTTTTTTTTTGGTACTGGGAATGGAACTGGGGACCTTGGGCTTGTGCAGCAGGCAGCACCACTGAGCTAAATCCCTGGCCCTGCCCAGGTCTTTTTTAAGTTTTTAAGTTTGAGATAAGGTCTCAAAAAAAGTTGCCCAGGTGGGACTACTGGGACTATAGACAAGTGCCACCACACCCAGCTAAGAACACATTTTTTTCCTCTCTGTCTTTTCTCTCCTTATTAGGGATTGGACACAGGGCCTTTACACTGAACTACAGCTTAGGTCATTTCTTATTTTGAGACAAGATCTTGGTAAATTGCCAAGTTGCCAAGGCTGGGCTTGCATTTGCCATCATCCTACCTTGGCCTCCCAGTGTGCTGGAATTATAGTTTACCACCACACCTGACACAAATCTTTTTGAATTTTGATGAAGTCCAATTCATTTATTTTTTTCTTTTGTTTTTATACTTTTAGTTTCGAATCTAACAATCTTCTGCTAAATCCAAGGTCATGAAGATTTACCTATGTTTCCTTACAAGAGTTACATAATTTTAGCTCTTACATTGAGGTTTGAACCATTTTGAGGATTTAGGGGGGAAGCAGTTAAGAAAATGTCTCAATATGTAGTTCAGGCTAACCTCGAATTCATTGCAGTCCTCCTGCCTCTGCCTCCTGTGTGCTGGGATTACAGGCATACCCCTCCAAGGTCAGCTTGAGTTTGTCTTTATATATGGTATTAGATAGGGATCCAGGTTTATTCTTTTGCATGTGATAGTACAGTTGTTCAACATTTGTTGAAAAGAATGTTATTTCCTCATTGAATGGTGGTCTTGTCAAAAGTCAGTTGTCAGGGCTGGGGATTTTGCTCAGTAGTTCCGCCACCTGCCTCGCAAGTGTAAGATCCTGAGTTTGATCCCCTGGTACCAAAAAAAAAAGTCAGTTGACCAAATACATGATTGTACCT